GCAATTTCTACGGCAGCCAGTTATGGCATAGGAGTTCTCGTCGGTAGGCATCTCGCATTTCAACCCTCATAATCTGTTTCCTAATGATCGCGATGACTAGACCTTCACGCTGCGCCAGGGGCACAGAATAAGGACCCTCACGCGGGAACTGGAACCGGTCAAGTCCACTTCTGGGAGCCTCACAATCAGTCCGCCACAGTCCGTGCACTGCGAGTTCTCGCTGCCGCCTTATCTCCTATCCCCAATGTTGTGGGTCTGGAACTCCTGAATGAGCCTGCTAACAACGATTCCCTCCAAGGATGGTATGAAGACACAATTCGCGCCATCCGATCGGCCCTTCCGCCCCGACATGCTGATGAGTTTCCCATCTACGTCGGCGATGCGTGGGATCCGAACTGGTATGCATCCTGGACGGGACAACGGCACGACTTTGTGGTATTGGACCATCATGTTTATCGTTGCTTCACACCTGAAGACTTGAAGCTTACTGGTGACCAACACGCGCATAACATTCAAACGGACACAAGAGGATGGTTCACGTCTCTCTCATCGAAAGCTAAGGGTAATTTCGTCATCGGCGAGTGGTCCGGGGCCTTAGGTCCCAGCTCCGTCGGTCTTCCCGGAGCGGATGCTGGAGAGCAAGACCGACAGAGAAGGGTGTTTGTACGTGCGCAATCTGAAGTTTTCGATGCGACATCCGCTGGGAGTTTCTTTTGGACATATAAGAAAGGTCAAGGCTGGGATGCTGGCTGGTCTGCCCGAGATTCAAGATTGGCAGACATTTTGCCTCATTGGCGTGGTGGCGTGAAGAGGGGTATAGGAAGAGGGAAAATTACCGACAACGAGAAACAGGAGGCTTTAAGGAAGGCTTATGGTGCGTACGCTGAGCCTGTGTTCCATGCAATTTGTTCTCAACTTCTTCACGAACCCGCATTTAGATTCCCATGTGGCATACTGGGAGGCTCACGGTCATGGAAGCAAAGAGCCTTGGCGCTTTCAAGACGGCTTCTCCAAAGGATGGGATGATGCGAAACATTTCTCGCAGAACATACCCGCATCAAACTCGTTCCCCACGATTGGGTTCCTTGGTCGTTGGACGAGTCGACGTGTAGCAGACCATGTCCAAGAGAAAGGAACAAGTCCTCAACTTTGGGAGTTCGAGCATGGCTTCGAACAAGGGGCAAATGCTGCTGTTGCCGCGTTGGCCGACTGAGGATCAGCGAATCGATGGGCGGATCGTGATGAAGTCAATTGTCAAAGTTCAAGTGTGCTGATGCGTTTGAAAACAAATGTACTTGATAGCCCCACAATGTATGTACAATCCAATGGAATTCCAGACAGTTGTGATGGATTGCGGCCACCGCATGGGGAATACCTATTAATCAATGTAGAACACATGTTGGTGGGTATAGGGTGTGGAAAGTTGTAGACAAGATACGGATGGAGCCACAAAGAGCTTGGGTATGGCAGGCGGCGGACTGACGATTCAAGCGATCAAGCGATTGTGAAGCTCTAAAGGTGATTATTTGACACCGAGCTAGTTGAGAGGAAAACGACGAGCCCACCTCGTCATCCTCAGTAGGGATTATGTAGCCATTATCCACAAGAAGATCGAAGGCATCCCTGACGAATGTCGTGCACACGTCCGCCCGCGATTGCAAATCAGCACAGGCACTGTTGATAACAATTGCAAATAAACGAACAGGATTGCCTCTGGAGTCCAACTATCATCTCTCTTCTGGAGGGTCGTGACAACGGCGTTGATGTGTACCCCTTCTGGATGTCCATCCGACAACTCTCTTATACACTCGAACAAACGCCGTTGGGGCCTGGATAACGACGGTGATCCCGATGTTGAAGCCAATGGCGGGGGCTGAGGGAGCCGTACCGGCGAGGCCACCGAGTGCTGTGGAATCACTGGGGGCCCTGATTCGACTTGCGTCATTGGCGCCTCCGCGATCGGAGTCGAGGCTCGAGTTGGCATTGGGGAAAGCATTGCTTGAGCCCGATGAGACGCACCCGTGATAACTTGTGTCGCGGGAGCAGAGCTCGAACTCGGACTCGAGGGTTTGGTGGAGGCTTGTAGCGATTCTGACATGTCTGATGTACCCAGTTGTCTCCTGAAAGGATTTTTGTTTGATTTGGGTGGATGACCGGAGGTCTCTAGTTGCTTCTGTGTTCCGGTGGCATGGGTGGCTTCCGATTCAGCCCTCAGGGGCTGTTATTATCATTACTGTTGAATTAGCAAATGAGGCCGGATTAGCTTAGGCTTACGGGACGAGAACGTCGAGGGACTGCTGAATTCATTGATCTGAAGCATGGGCGTGAATAAAGTACATAATGGTGAAAAGGTCAAGTCACTCACGACTTCCTTGGGCTTCGTTCAGTCTGCGTGTCAGATGATCGACTAACGGTGCGTGTGCGTAGAGTACCCTCTGACGTACTGGGACTGCCAGATCGTGGCTCATTCAGCGGGACCCCTGTGGATAGATGAGCGGCCAGACGTTCTCAGATACATGATACCCACGTCCCGGTGCATGGGAAATTCCATTCGAGCCGGAAACCATCTCAATAATAGTACGGATATCTTCAGGCCCCCCCATTAATTCTTCACGCAATTTTCGGAGACTTTCCTCGTCCGCATCCTCCGCAACAACCGAATCGACAGACATTTCACCATCATCCCGTGGAAGTGTAAGTATCATGGATTGGGGTGACGGGTATTGAGTGTCTGAGGTCGCTGTGTTCCCTGAGCCACCGGAAACCGACGGAAGGAAAGCATATGCGGCCCGCCCAGCCATTATAGTCCCTTCCAGATTACTTATTCTGTTCGATAGTTCCTGGTGCTGCACCAATAACTGCTCATTTGTGTTCAATTGTATTGTCCTAAACTCCTGAAAGATCTCCGTGAACTGTCGAAGCTGTTCGTTGGTTTCATTTTGGCTCTGTTGAAAATGGCCAAACTGCTCTACGTGACCGAGCACTTCGTGGAGCTTGGGCAACTAATCGATTCCGTCAGAAATGGGGTCAAGATATGCTGTCTGTAAGTACAGAATACCTCTTCACGCAGCACGCCGACTGCACTGATAAGTGCGTTCATATCAAACATCCAGTCTCAGAGACTGAAATGTAAATACCAGTGCCCTTGGCGGCTTGCCGGCATCAAATCACGCGCTCGTGACCCTGAGAAAGTCACCCCACCTAAAATGATTCAGGAATCGAGGCCCCACAATCACTAAGCGTTTGACATATGGTGGGAAGCAGTACAAACAAATAAATTTCTGGGCGTACGCTGTGGCCAACTCACGTTTGTTGATGTTGAGCTTTCCTGTGTTGGATTACTTGCGACCAAAGTCAGTGCGCATTCAGAGCGCCTGAGACTACAAGACACAAATGTTGGGTCTTAGGCTTCGTTCAGTATGAAGAAACAGGTTTCTTTGGCCTATTTCTTAAGGCTTCGTTCGGTATGGAGAAACAGGTTTCTTTGGTCTGTTTCTTCCTGTTTCTTAATACAAAAATTGCCTGTTTTTTTAGGTAGAAGAAATGAGAGAGAATATTGAATTGAAAAACTGGAAGAAACAGGCCTGTTTCTTCATACCGAACGAAGCCTAATACAAAAATTGCGTGTTTCTTTAGGTAGAAAAATGAGAAAGAAACGGGGAAATATTGAATTAAGAAACAGGCCAAAGAAACCTGTGTCTTCATTTTGAACGGAGCCTAAGTTACGACTTCTCCTCAGTTCACGTACAACGGGACTGTGCGAGAACGTCGCTAGTCCTTATTTCCTAATACCCTCCTCTGACGCACCTCACGACACGTCGGTGTACCCTAGGCCAAGCGTGAAGATATTGCTGTTGATATGACATTCCGATGCCCTTTGTGCCGATGATTGGCTAGTCAATAATATGTTACCACTATTGAAACAAAACTAAAAGTTTCATTGTTGTTAGTGCTTTGTCCCTTTGTGCCACTCAGAGATGTATGTGTGAGCTGAGAGCACGATATCTAATGACACTGATACCGTGCTCAGATTTTCACAATTGCAACTTTGAATATTTGCGGAAAGAACGAGGTGCTAAAAGGATATATAGTGCTCACCTACAGGGATGGTATAGGCGATGAAGAAACCTTGGTATTCCTAAGCTCGTGGGTGATGATGGGGTTCCCTACCACCTACTTACCTCACGCTTCCAGTGAAGGGAACCAACAGATTTGACGTCAGAGGAGTTATTTACAGCAAGAGACAAAAAAAACGGCCGATCAGATTTTGTTAAACATATCGGGAACAAGTCAGCTGTTCGATTATTTTAGGAAAATTTGAGCACTTATTACATATTGTGTCCCAATGACACTCCTCCGTGCCAAATATGGCTAGCCCGCATTTCCCGTTGTGCGACAATGGGCAAACACCTTAAACCCCCAGCCAGAGAGCTCTTGATTACCATGTCTGAGACTATGAGCACATCGCAAATTTCAGAAGCTATACAAGTGCCTGCACGCACTGTCCGGAAGATTCTTGCACACCCGGAAAGACATCAACGTGGCCCCCTCACTGAAACTCGCGGCCGACATCGCTGTCTGAATGTCCATTCTATCAATGTAGCTATCCACATATTGGATTCCACTGCCCTCTAACTCTTTGCTGTAGTTTCTAGATAGCCTCATTGAAATGAAGCCCGACCTCATGCTCTCTGAGCTCCGGACTGCTCTCATCAATGAGTTCCATATTGAAATCAGTGAGCGCACAATTTCCCGTGAAATGACGCGTCGCGATCTAACATACAAGAAGGTATTGAGTCACTTTCTAACTATGGCAATACCATTGATGTCTATTTCAGGTTCAGAGAATAGCTGCCGAGCGTGATGAAGGAAGACGCGCGGACTTCAGACAGTACATGGGGGGAAACTACCAAGCAGAACACCTAGTATTTGTAGATGAAACAGGTGTTAGCCGTCAGACAGGAACCCGGACTCATGGTTGGTCACCCCGTGGAGAGCGTGCCCGGCGTCGCGACTTCTTTATTCGCGGCATAAAGTATGTGATCCTAAGGTTTAGATGGCATATTATGAATTAACAACCACAATACTAGATATTCTGTCCTTCCAGCAATGTCACTGGAAGGTATTCTGCATTGCGACATTCAGGTCGGAGCATACACAAGCGAAGCATTACTATGGCGCGGTCTGGTACCGACTTTCCTAGTCTTCACCTTCGCTTGGCTAGTTGACGAGTCGGGTAGAGTGTGAGAAGAGATTTGGGCTGCCGCGAGGTCCTGAAGCAGGGTGGCAGCATTGGCGAGTGTGATAGGTGCATTTGGTGTTGCAGATGTCCGATTAAGATAATTCTGGATACGGCTGCGGAGGCCATTGTCGGACTGCGATTGATCCCCTTTAGAAGATAGATAGGGTTGAGAGCATCGAAGTAGAATCAACAATAGGGTACTTACAGTTGTGAGGAATGAAAAATGATACTGCGTCATCACCTTGGCCCTTGCCGTCATCAAAGGCATCCAATACAACGGTGGAATTATCTGGAAGATATCGCGCATGCCCGTTGACAAGGCATTTGGAAAGGGCATCATCGCGAGTCTTTGGTAGTGGAGGGATGTCAGTCATTCCAAGTAGATGTGCAGCACTCCATAGAGGACGTCTTCCCGGGTTCTCCTCCCAGAATTTAAGATCAAACTTTTCAATGTTAGTCGTCATAACGAGAGAGTTAGTAGAAGGGAAAGATCAACGCTGAACTTTCAGACTAAGAGGCCATGGAACGTGGCATTTTATACCTGGTGAACTCGGAAGTGCCGTCGACAGTGCCGACAGTGCCGACAGTGCCGACATACAACAAATCATGGGATGCGCTGTGGTCATGTAACGGATGAAGCAGCCATGCTTCACATGAGCTACAAAACTATTGAGTGGCACACGTGAAACAGGGTAAAAATACCTTCAACGCTGGAAGAGACCCCAGCAGAAGACGGGCAGTAGGCAGTTGCCATATAGGTCATGTGTGCTAAAACAGCGGTGTATTCTAATTCTAATTTGACCCTGATTTTGCTCCCGATTTGGATCATCACGAGACCCACCCGTGACGTTTAGCAAATTTTGATCGGCCGTTTTTTTTGTCTCTTGCTGTAAGACATTGACGCCATCTGGACTTCGGCTGAATAGTCGTCGGAAGCAACGTTACGAACGGGACGGGTGGAGTTGGCTCTCCGTGACATGATCCGATCAATCACCCTCTAAAAACACCGGGGCTCGCCAGCCTAGTACAGCTGATGCCATTGGTCAGCGATCTACTCTTCTAGCATCCACTTTGCCCGCTGTGAATGCATTAAATATCAAGAATAGACTCTGGCTTTAGCCCTGTCGTTGTAATGTCGGCGTTACAAGCGGCTGTTGCCAGGCACCCAAAATAAAAATCGTTTACAAGCAGCGCAAGCAAATTTTTGAATAAGTGCTATCCACAACTCTGGTGCTACAACGTCTGAGTCGAGGAGCGGACGTTGGTATGGATGAAAATGGCTGATGCTGATGTTCCTAGGTAAGATAAATGACATAAAGCATACAAATGGCGACAGATTAGAGGCGTAAGTCATGCTGGACTGGGCAATTCCTCGGGGAGGGCAACATATCGCTCCTGTTAAGAGACCAACCCAAATAAGTCCATGTAAAAGGGCGAGAGCGAGAGTAAAGACTAGTTACCGCATCGTCATCAAGACTCTCAATCAACCTGAGGTCTTCAGCGACGTCAAATGCGTCACTGAAATGAAAATAAATCCTTTAAATGCAAACCCCGAGTAGAAGTCAACCCACAGAAAAGACTCAGCCGTCCACTCGCCGACACTGTCCTTCAGCGCCCAAATAATATCGTTCACGTGGACTCCTCGTGCGTTAGTGTCCTTGCGCATCAACTCCCGTACACACTCCACCACAAGGCGCTGGGGCTCGGGAAGAGATGAGAATGGCAATTGCACATGTGAAAGGGCAATTGAGGTCGGAGTGGATGGTTGTGGTGTTGCTGAAAATCCTCCGTGATCTGGAGTTTGGGCCTGGCTACCTTCGGAGTAGGGTGGGGGTGTATTGCTATCGGAATCAACGGGCTATGGCCATTTCAATGAAATCGCAAGTGGACGTCACGATCGCACGACCTACCAGCTGAGGACCAGAATGCGAGGCGAAGGAGCTAATAGAGAAGAATAAGTGGACCAGACACATGCACGCCAGCTTCCATGTGACTGACCCAGGTCTGTGAGTGTCGCTTGAGATGGACGAAGAATTAGTCGGCGAGGAGGGTAGCTCAAATGTACCGCTCAGGCCGACTGAGTCAACCTGGGCACCATTCGCCAAGGAGGCTAAAAAAGATCTTTAAGACTGAGATTGCCAAAGAAAAGTGCATCGTTCACCCACGAGTTGGGGTGGGGTATGCCGCAGCCGCAATATCGACTGGGCCTCGGCTAGGCGTATGTGGTGCTTCAAGTGCTTCATGTTGTGCAGCACCAACCCCCGTCGCGCTGCCACCATTTACAATAGAGCTTAATGGGCGCTCAGGATGAACGGACGCCATTGGCGTACGAGGTGATGGACGTTGAGGTGTAGAATGAGTATAATTTGTGTCTGTAGTGGCAACCACACTCTGGTCCTGTAGATTCTGTAAAGAATCCTCGATATTCGAGAGACGAGCAAGGATTACGCTCTGTTGCTGGAGTATCTGGTCATTCAGACTGCGATGCGAGTTCATTGATTGTTGAAGTGATTCAATAAGAGCCCCGAGGGCTGAAGCCATAGCTTCCTGGCTTCTCCGAAAGCGATCAAATTGCTCTGCAAAATCAAGCAAGTAGTTGATGCGAGGGAGCTTAAAGGTCAAGTTCAAACAACACGTCAAATACGGATGAAGTTATTCGCACCTCTCGTTGTAAGAGACTGGCGGCTTCGAGAAGGGGAGCAATGGACTCCATACTCACGGTTGGTGATTGGCACAATACAGTGAGCAGGACCCCAGCCTCTGCTGTCGAAGCGGTACAACCACAGCTAGACAAGTTACAACTGTCACTCTATTGACTCGTTTTGATGTGACAGACATCACATGGCCGTTGATCCGTAATTGAATGGTGTTTATTCATCTTGTGTGTGAGCGAATGTGACAAGAATAGTGTGGCGACGGCCCCGACAGGACGTCGAAGCCTCTTGATTTGAAGCGAGCCGGTAAATACATAGATAAGCAAACAGGAGGCGATGGGGCAGGTGGAGGGTAACGATGAAGACGAGTGAGAATAACAACGGGGATTCAGACAGGAGGGAAGAAGTCAAGTTACAAAACAAAGGGATCAGCCGAAAGGAAAAGCCACCGTAAACACCCGGGATCCAACTTGCAAAGGAAAACCAAGGCTATACTGCCTTAACCAATGCAAAACCAGACATTCAACGGCAACCTAACCAGAACCGAAAAGAAAATTAGTTAAATAATAAACGACGAAGTCGTAGAAAAAATCCAGCGTGCGCGGACGCAAGAAAGTAGTGGCTGAGAAGCCTAAGCGTACCGCGGACGCAAAAGAGAAGGCACGGAGGCCGAAGCGCTCAGCGGGCGCGCATAAAAGAAAGATGGCACGGAGGCCGAAGCGTACCGCGGACGCGCATCAAGAAGAAAAAGATAAATCGACGTACCGATCATGCAGCAGAAATCAGAACCAGACTCGCAAACAGATAATCAAGAAAATGTAAACTGAACATCGCGGATGATCAGCTTGGAGGCGTCAGGCATTGAATAATGCGTACAGAAGACGAAGCCTAGCAAAGGGCACAGCGGATACCCAAGAAAACGACTGAGGCGCTGAGGCCGGCGCACACAAGTCCTATTTAATCTCGTTCCTCCATTAAATTTAAACTATTCGTCTATTAGTGTTGTCATTTAAATTTACAAGTGCCCGGGCCCTCAACTCGTGCACTTAAACTTGCGAGACATGTTGAAGGGAGTGTTGAAGGAAGTGGTATTTGGCGACGCCGATCGCCTTTTCACTCGGACAAACATATTGATACGCTGCAGAACGGGAACTCTTATACAAGTCGATCTATGCCGGTCTATACACCATGGGCAAATGACCGTCTGGATAGTTTCACAGCATGTTAGAAGGATACAGCGACTGGCACTAGTAGTAGGAACGAACCTGTTCAATACCAAACCCTTGAGTGCTTTCAGCTCTCGTCGGACCTCTTCTTCAGCGGGACCAAGAACATTTACGCTGCCACCAGAACTACCCATCGTTCCGAGTCGGAAAGAAGAGGCAGCAGGGATGAGGTATGTTTGAGATGATATGTATGCAATCAGATCAGTCACCGACTCCAGCGTCCGAGAAAACGAAGTAGACCGTGATATCGCAGCTGTTGAGTTGGGGTCTTGTGTTGCTGCCTCGGCTAGCCGTACGACGGATGCACACAACCTCTAAAGAGTGGTCTATGAATCCAAAATGCCAGCGTGAACATGCTGAATGCGCACCTCGGGCTCTACTCTGGGAGATATGTGCCTCTCGACCGAATGAGGAGAAGGGTCAGATAATGATTCGTTAACTGTCTGTTCTGGATTGTCTAGCTGATTAGAGGCGGGCTGCATGGTGGTTTGTTTCGCAAGGCTCGTCAATTCCTTATTCAGTTGTTCAACCAACTGGAGGCCATGTATCCGTAGACTATGACGAGATTCGAAAGAATCATTCAGAAGTGGGAATATGTAACGCTGGTGATGGCGCAGTCTGAGTACTGGAGAAGACTAAGAAGCGATGGGCGGCGATGAGACCGACCTGGTATAGCATCACGCCTACCCCAGCAAGCGCCCCACCATAGCCCAAGGCCCGAGTCAACGACACCAGCATCCCCGGAAGTTTTGAGGGCGGGGAAGGTGGAATGTATGTCTTCGGAGGAACAGGGGGAGGCGTTGACTAAACGGAAGTTGAGTGTGGCAAAGCGCTGTGAGGACATGCAAACCTGCCGTAAGTTCGTCGATTAAAGAGTCGACTTCTTCATGGGTAAGCCCCTTCGACTCCAGAAATCCTCTCTTCTTTGAAACATCCGAAGCATGAATAACCGGCGTAGCCAGGAAGTCGCGGGCTTGTTGCAGCAGCATTGCTCGATCCTCCGGCCACACTTTTGGGGGTTCGTCGGGAGTGTTCTTTACATGGTCATTTCCCACGCCTGGGGACCTGGGATGAGATGCTGAGCCCTCAGAAGAGGGCGCGGCCATGCTACTTTCATCCCCTGCGCTCTCCCTGTCAGCTTTGCTGTCTTCGTCAGCCATTTGGGCGTGGGAGTCCCGTGACCTTGGTCTGTCGCAATACTGGCTGGCGCTATAACTGTCCTATCGAGTGGGTGTAATTTACCATTGCTATTATGGAGCATAGGTCTGCTCTAAGGAAAGTGGTGAAGGACTGCTCTCAGAGAGGGCTATATGTGGCCTCGAAATGGTCTGTGATGTAACTCTTTAGGCATATTTTGTCTAATGACTCAGGA